TTCCGAGACTGGATGTGTGGTAGGTGCCCTAGATGGGTGTTGCATTTCAACATCGGCCTCACCCTGCATGGCGATTCCCTGGTTTAACGCTGCTACCATGGCCACAACTTCTTTCGAACTCTGTGCCATCACGGTCTGCTAAGTTTAGACGAAGGTGATGTGACTGGTGACTGACGGATCAGATGAACCAGTAAGCCTTGACTAGCCTTTCTTTAACTTGCCTCAGTGAAGGAAAATACTAGCTGCTCTGAATTGAATCTCTGAACCCCTTAAAAGAGAAAATATGCAGCATCTCAGCCCAATTTAACCAGAACAGATATAAGCATAACTAAATAACTGTACTCGATCACTGATCACTGCTCCCCAAATTACTGCCCCAAAACTGAATCTGATACCCGCAGATATAACTGATTCTCAAACACCGATGCCCGCATGCCAGATACCCAGACTTGCAAACTGATACGTGCAACCTGTAGAGACACACTCTAACAGCACATAGCAAGCAAGTGAGAACCAAAAACACCCCTATGGAGGGGTAGGGTTTCCCTGTCCTATTTTGTCAGGAGCTAGGGTTTCACTATGCACACAGTGGTTTCAAACAACCTATAATCGGGTAAGCAACCTGTCCAAATTTGGGATGGTCATTATGGATTCTGATATGCACTAGGTCGAATGGTCAAAAAGGGTGCCCCAGTAAAAATCGGGGTTTGTATTCCCATCGTGGCAAAGCCCGTAACCGGTTAGCCTTATGGCATGCTTCTCAAAGCGAGCCTCCGGCAGACCGTTCAGGAATAGCAGATGGCAAACACGGTGTCCTAGGCACACCAATGCACATGAAATCCAAAGAAACACATAAGTGTAGTTAAAACAGGATATCATGAGTTCGAGTCAAGCTCTCTAAATCCCCAGCAGAGTCGCCAGAAACTGTAGACGCACCCGAACGTCCCGAGAAAAATCCCGTTTTGTTCATTAGGCTCACCACAGCTTGGACTCAATGTCACGGTTCTTAATCTGATCTCGCAAAGTGCAATACGAGATTGATAAATCACCAAAGAGTCCAAATCCGACAACTCGTTTTAAAAAACTGATTTTTAGAAAGAAGTGCCAAACATGGACTGCTTTGCCAGATACAGAGTCGCCACCTAAATATTTTATTTTGGGGGAATTTAGGAAACCCGGACTCGTGCCTAAGGCCATGTGTCCATCATCACCAAAGTTGCCTCGGCTCGGGAACTTGGGTACAATTGGTGAAGTTCATGCAATGAGCAACTCCGCTCGTCCGATCAAAGATCGGCCACTACTAAACTTGATATCTTGTTTTTGAAAACATATGTGCTCTTATTCCGGTTTATTAGCCTAGAATTGCTACGTGATATGCATAGCATACAAGTATAGACTGGATTGTCTAAGTTGGAACAAAACATCTCATGTTTGTTTTTGAAAGCGGCTTGCTACTCACAAGTAGGCTAAAATGAGGATTTTTGCCACCCTCAAGTGGGCTTAGAAAACGTGGTGATTTGCCACTCTCATGTGAGCTTAAATCTTGCAATCGATGAATTGTTCCAATTTAAATAATCCAACCTTCACCCACAGACATTCCGGAAGATATATCACATAAGCAGTTAGCCTCATGGCAAGCATGCTATCACGGCAGTCACTCACACACATGCAAGGATGCTAAAGCCAATACAGAAACTAGTTAGTAATCAATGCATGATCCTAGTTCATGTTAAGATGGCTAATGCAACACATGCAAAATGCAACTAAGATAGGCTCGGCTTTTCTAAGATGGCATATGAGATGCTACAGATAACATGTATTCAACTCGGAATTGAAATACAATGCAGTTAGTATGATGCACCGTGCCGGGTGCATGTGAGACAGATGAATGATGCACGCATGCAAAGCATAAGTATGCTAATTGAAACATGATCTGGAACTAACCATCAATAGCAGGTAAGTAAAAGGGAGAAAGACGTGTGGTTGGAAGACGTTCACACACTCACGCACACTTACTACAAAATTTTCCCTTTTGACGGAAGGTCCGAATAAATAAAACAGAACAAGCTAGCTAATCTAAGCTAATTTAATTAAACTAGTTATTACACGATGAAATGAATAACAAGTTACAACTACTTATTACACAACATGAACTAAGTAAGCAATCTAAATGAGCATGCAAACTAAATGAATGTGGGCTGTCCCAGCTCTGTCTTGAATGATAAAGGATGTATGCGTGCTCGAGTCGCCTTGTCGGAAAATCCATCGCGATGCCCCAACTCGCCTTTGTTTGCAATTGATCTCAGAAACTTACACAAAGCTCCAGAAGGCTGAAACTCCACCCGGGGAATCTGTGGGAAGGCTGCCGACCAGCTTGTGGGCATGGGAGACCACCTGCCGACCACCTTTTGTGGGAGAAACCAAAACGGGTGGTCGGCCTGCCAGAAAAGCTAGTCAGCCGACTAGTTTCTGCCTTTGGTTTTTTGTTTTCTGCAACAAGGAGCAAGAGAGAGGCATGGCAAGGTATTTTCAACATATGTGTGCACGACCACTCTCCCCATCATTGTACAAGCTCAAGGGAGTGTAGGCCTCGATCCTCGGGCCACCAATCACGTATCTCAATGCATGATGGCCGAGGAACCGAATTGCATAACTTAATATAGAATGAATGCACATATGAACACATAAATGCCTAAACTCCTTCATGTGTAGTCAAGAGTGTCGGCGACCGGGAATCGAGGCACGTTTCATCACTTTGAGTATGAAACGTCCCTCGTTTCCCGTGTTCGGACTAACTCCTATTCCAAACACAATGCAACAAATAACATGGCATGCACAATGCAACTCTAGGTATGCAACCTAAATGCTATGCAACTAAGTGATGCAAACATGCAAATGATGACATGCAAACATGCAACTAGCATACACAATGCTATGAACTAACAATGGCATACTCAATGCATGTGGTACTTAGCATACACAATGCACCTAAGAACTAACATACACAATGAGATGAACAAGGCATGCACAATGCAATGATCAATCATGTGACAATGTGGCATACTCAATGCTATCAACTACAATGGCATACTTGATGCAAAATAGACTTACACCAAAATGGATGGGCCTCAGCCACACCCAAATCAGTGGCCATACATGATGAAAACAAGACTCCAAAACTGATGCTTGGATACACAATGCAAGGACATAAGCCCAAGGGCAAAAAATGCAACTCTATAAAAACATTGAAAGGATGAAATATGGCATACAATGACACATGTTTTAGCTCTGAAATGACATACAAAATGGCTCCGAATCATGCAAACAATTCACATAATGCATGTTGAATGGCTCAAGCATTGAAACTAGTGAAGTGCAGTACACTATAGGCATGCAAAGCGATGCTCAAATGATGAAACCAACCCCAAACAGACCCTATGCAGGCCAAAAATAGTAGCAAAATGGGTTGGGATGATGGCTTGAAAGGCATAAAAGTGAAGCTCATGTAATGGCTCGCAAATAGGGTATAAATGCGCAACTCTAAAGAGCACATAAAGCATGGAAAATATGAAAGTGTAGCACCCCTATAAGCTCTGAAATATCATGCCCAGTGATGCCAAAACATGTAAATAGCTCAAGTTAAGCATGCAAGGGACCTCCAAACTCAAAGCTAGTCAATGCTATTACACAACAAGTATGCATGGCTAGCATTTTTTGACCAAGAGGCCTCAATACAGAGCTAAGGCAGCCCAAAATATGAACAAAATCAGTTTGAAGTATGGCCAAAATATGCTAGAATAGAGGGCCAAAATAACATGCATTGTGAGCTAGTGAACATAAGTTACACTACAAGCATATGAAGCACATGAAGGACTACCAAACCAAACAAAAATAGAGTCATGGGATGCCAAATGATGGCCAAAAACCCACTGAAACAAGACCAATACATGCAAGAATGACATGCTCTTTTGATAAGCCATGAAAGGGATTACTCTACACATCCAAGAAGCAAGCAAAAGGGGACCAAACCAGCCATGGTCAAAGCCTAGGAAGGTCCTAGAAGTCACTAAAAATTTCCTGAACTAGGCCTCCAAATGGTATAAACATATCCTCCTTTGGTAGGCCAAAAATGCTAGTAAACAAAACAACAAGAGAGAGGGTCACCCCTCTCTGACCTCGGCCCTCAAAACCACATTCTCACAGGAAGGCCAAGCAAATACTAGCTCGAATGCCCTATGGCATAGCACAAAACAAGGCTAAATAGAGCATGCAAGAGGGTAGATGACCCCCAACACCAAAAGAGCCTTAAACAAATATGAAAATCACTTAAATATGAACCTTTTTTCAGTTGACAATAATGCTCAAATAAGCATGAAAATGAGGCTAAGAGAAGGATCAAAATAATGCTTAAAAGAGGAAAAAGTGAATCCCTTTGAAGCTCAGCAAAACCAGCCACTTCTGGACCAAAAAACTCAACCTTTGAGACCTCTCAAGACCCTCCAAGAACTCAGTAACAATGGTGGACGTGTTAGGCTATGAGGTGTGGTGCAAAGGGCTAAGAATAACACACTCTTTAGGGCCAAAATGTAGAGATATAGAGAGAGATATATTTTTTGCCTTAGACAAAAATCTGAACCTGGTATAAGGAGAGAGAGGGCCTCTCTTATAGACAAAACAAAGCCAAAGCTTCTTCAAGAAGCTAAAACAAGGCTCAAGATCCTCCATACACATGTATGGAGGATACAGTCTGTGCCTTTCAGCTGGCACAGCTGGCATGCACTCAGACAGACAAAGCAGGAGGGAGTTGGCCGACCAGATAAGGTGGTCGGCCGACCACTTCCCCTGGTCGACCGACCAAGGAAAGTGGTCTCCCAAAAAAAAGGTGGTCGGCCAGTGCAATTGGTGGTCTCCACAATGAAAGCAAGTCAGTGGTATGGTGGGAGACCAGCAAATGTGGCCCAAAGACCAAGAAAACCAGCTTCTCTAATCTAATACCACTACACTAATAATCTTCTCATTCAATTCCACTGTATTTATAATCCCATTCAACCTAATTTGCCAAACAAACAAGGCCTAACAGTTTTGACCTACCTACTTATCCTACTCTATCAATGTTCTTCCAGACATTTTTTTTAATTAAAATTGAGTTGATACAAATACAATCAAGTCGGATAATTTTGTCATCCCTTATGCATTGCTGACCATAATGTCAATGCCATCCTTAATTTATACACAGGTTCATGCATGGGTTTTGTTCACCTGAATATGAGTGGCTTCACCAGATATTGCACCTTTACGATCCAAGAATGTTGAAATCTCTCGGTTATTATGGAAGAGTTGATGATGCTTTTCGCTTGCTGCAATCAGAGCCCTCTGTTCAGGTGCCCCCTTTTACTCTCTTTAACACTCTGAATCATGAGGTCAGAAAAGAAGAGAGAAGAAAAATAGGCAATGCACGAATACACTTGGATGATTTGGTGATTATGAGACTTAGATCATCAATTATCCCAAATGCTTGAGCCCTTAAAAAGTAGGCAAACAATGAGTACTGGGGTGTTTTGTACTTTCTCACAAACTGCCATTTAATTCTTGTGTATAATAACCATGCCATATATACAATGTATTCTCACAGTGTCTTGATCTGAGGAGTTCATTTGTGTGTTTTTGCATGTAGAGAATGGTGACTTCTATATCATCTGACAAAGCAGTGTGGGATGCTATATTGAACAACGAGGCAGTTCAGAATCTCCAGAAGTCACTCTACACAGGTTTACCTAAAATAAAATCGATTGATTTCGTTATTTATAATGACTGTTTATGCATGTACATTTATATCTCCAATTGACTCACATAGGTGAGCCAATACCAAATGATGCGAATCCTTGGGTGGAACTCACCCTTCAAAAATGGCTTGCAAGGAGAGTGCCCAAGAGGTTTATATGCACATGGCCAAGGCCTTTGTTAACTGATGTGAGATTCACAATGTCGTGACATATACATAGCACAGTAGGCCAAGATTACAAGTTTGTTGTTACATGGATTGTTAGTTGTTCTTGTTCTCTACGGGTAATGACATGTTGTAATTGAATAGGAAAAGAACTACTGGAATAAGACGCACTTCTCGAATCTAAAATCTTTTTATTCCAGCTGTAAAGTACTGCTACAATGACTGAACGGTATTCTTGATTCCACAACACAAGCTTTCTTCACACAGTCAAATTAGTTGAGACTTAGCAAGAAGGGATATATGACTTATTTCCTATTTTGGCAACTAGGAAAAAAGTCAGCTTATTAGCTTGTTTGGGTTACATTACTTCTCTACTTTTTTGCACTTTTTTTCTTACTTCCCAAAATAGGCGGACCTCTTTCATTTCCTTTCATTTGCTCAAATCTTGCACTGTAACATTCACATTGGAATGTAAGAGCGAACAACAAAGAGCGAGCAAGTAGCAAAGAGATGTAGAATTTAGAGAGAGAGAGAGAGAGAATGAGAGATGTGAGGCTGAGAGTTGAGTTGAGTTGAGTTGAGATGGAGTGTTGCCTCCTCCTCCTCCTCCTCTAGATCACAACCTCCTCCATTGTTTGTGTTGTTTTGTAGTCTTTGAAATATAGTGTATCTTACTGCTCAATGGATGTAAGTGCATTGCCGAACCATGTAAATCTTGTGCATGTTTGATGGTGTTCATTTCTGGTCCATGGGCACAACAAATTTTCTATACCATTCCTTGTCAATTTGTCATACTAAAAGAGTACATGACGGGTCGGGATTTTTTGGGTTTCGTGCACAAATTCTTGATTTTAAACTTAACCATTTTAGTGATATAACTTCATACTTTACTCTAACGCTAAGGTCATGTTTGATTAGGGGTTTGGGAGGGAGGATTGGATTACCAATCCGTGGAGCTCACTTCACCCATGTTTGTATGCAACAAAATGTCATGGGATTAGCAATCCCATGAGAGTATGAATCTCCTCCCATGGTGGGATTAGCATTCCCATGGAAGGGTTGGGATTGCTAATCCCTTCACACATATTGATGGTTAAAATACCACTTTGCCCTCTACTTTACAAAACCAACAAAGTTATATTTTATGTGAGAAGGGTTTTAAGTAATTTTGTAGATTTAATCTTAAAAGAGGAAGAAGCATGGGAGGAGGAGCCATGGCAACACCACCAGTTGGGGCGATGATTGGTGGCGGAGGAGTGCCCTCCGACCACCGCACCATCCAAAGACCAACCACCACTAACCTCCACTCTCACCTCCCTTCTTCTTCTTCTTCTTCTTCACATCTCAATCAGCCACTCTCATCATCTACAAGATTTGAGCCTATGGATGGAAGAGATGATCATAAAACCACGATTCGCACTCACTCTTCTCACTATGGCTCTGTTTTCGGGTCTGTCCCTTCTCGGACTGAAGTCCAGAAAGCCATATCTGATCTTCAAAGGTAATTTTTTTTTTTTTTTTTTTTTTTTTTCCAAAATTGGAAAATTTTTTTCCCCTTTTGTTTTTTTTTTTTTTTTTTTTTTTTTTTTTTTTTTTTTTGGAAGTAAAGTAAGATTTTTCATGTCAAAAAGTGTTGAATGCTCCTTTGTCAATCCTTTGTGAACATGAAAAGGATGGAAACACCCTTGTTTCATTGAATAAGAAAGGAGTTATCAAGGAAACACCCTTGTTTCATTCAATGATTTGCATTAATCTACGCTCTCCACTTAATAGCATGGATTTGGGTATTAAATTGCACTTACTCACAAAGAGAAGATGTAGGTTCCTATCCATTTTCTTAGGCTTCAATTTGTTTTGATTTTGATCCATTTAATTGTTAATTTATTGCAAAATATTTGTTATATATATATATGTTTATATCATTGTTGATGGTTAGTGCCCATTGGTGTCTTCCCTAAGTGATCCATGCGAGCAGAGAAGGAAAGAGGGGTGAACACCCCTCAGAAACTGTCTTATGGCATCTGTTTGGGAAATTATACACTGACCTAAATTGCAGCCGGAAGATGAATTCGACTGGCCTTTTTCCCTGTTCGACTTATGTATAGCCGACTAACTTCTCCAAGAACAAAGCAGGTAGTTTTTGGGGAGTGTTCCCCAGGGTGGTTCTGGAGCTGCTGATACATATTTTATATGATTTGTTAGGCTCAGTAGTAACTTGGATGAATTAATTCATTGTTGTAATAAATTCTTCAACCATCATTCTTTTTCTTTTTTTTTATTATTATTCATTCAAAGTGTTGTAATAATCTCTCTTGCTCGCCTCCTTTCTTATTCAAGTTGTTGTAATAACTTCTAACCCCACATCTTTCTATACCTTTTAGTTATGCGCTTTCTATATAGCTTCATGTTTTATTTATCATATCCATGCTTTGCATCCATCTTTCATGCATTGAGATTCAGCTAATTTGTGTCTATGGGCTACATCAATTCTTATGTGCCTTTGTGTGCGAACTCATGCATTGAGATGATACACATATCATATATTTAGTAGTCGAATCCTTAGTTGCATTTCATGTATGTATTGCATTAGGTATTTGCATATAGGATCATGTAGATATATATAACATATTATTTTTTTAGCTTGCCATGAAGGAGTAGTAGGTGAGCATTTACAGCTTTAGCATTTGGGTTGTGTATGATATTTTACCATGTTTAGCATCCCACCATACAGCTAAGTGCTTAAATGACATACCTCCTTGAATGCTAGTGGATGAAGGTTATGTTGCTTAGGTTGGACTGATGTTGGTTGATATGCATGTGGGCTCAGTTTTCTATGAGTTGTATATTTCTTTGAAAAAACCTTTCAAAATGCATAAAATCAAAGCATACCAAAATAAGTGACATAATCTACAAATTGCTTGACTCAAATAGTAATTTTAACATTATTAATAATCAGAACACGAGCATATATTGTTTATAAAACTCATATCATGGCTTAATAGAAGTTGATCTCTTGATCGGGTGAGCAGGGGTGCTCAATTCATGACCTTCCCTCCTCATACCTAAGGTTTCAAACTGATGCATCTTTGGTTACGACGACCATTGGCCTTTGGCACGAGTCATGGGTTTTCTAATTTTCTCAAAAGATTAGGTGGCGACTCTCAAATCTGGTAATGCAGTCCATTGTTGGCATATTTTGCAATAAATGGATTTTCTATAAAAGTTGCCCCAATTTGGACTCTCATTTTCTGTTTTACATTCTACTACTGAGACTAGATCAGGAGATTGGGAGTTTGAACTATTGGGTGTGCTTGGTAACCCCAAAAACATCCCACAGTCGCTTAGAAACGGATATTGTAGACGCTTGACTATTATGCTGAAATGGAAATGCTAGAATGAAGGGATACTGGGCTGGCTGAAGTCCATTACACTCTAAAGTTCACTACTATAAGGTGCTACAGGAAGAACAAGAAGAAAGAGAACCAAGTAAGGGTAGATGAGGACTAGTTCATAAAGGCCTTGTTCGAAGAAGATGAGTAAGGAAGAAATGAATGTGCAGAACAAAGTGACATAGGCTAACTTTCAAACTAGCTTCAGTACTTAGACTAACTACTATGGCTTGGGAGACTTGCATGCTGAGACGATGCCGGATGGAGGAGTGTGGGAAAAGGATGTCGCCAAGAATGTAGTGGATGCAATAAGATGCCAATTGATAAATCGGCCTGTTAAAAATTGTTCTGCTTGTGGATTTGGTAGTAAGTCCAATAAAATGAGTCAATTGAGTCAAGTGAGTCAAAAATTTGGCTGGTCAGATTCTGACGCACCGGCCTTTTCAAGTAATAAGTTGAGTCTGTTCTTTTGTTCTGATTTGTTTTCCTTTGAGTCATAGTTAGATGTCAGAACCCCACTTTTTTCTATCAATAATATAAGTTAGTAATTCTGGATACTCCATGATGTCAAAAAGTTGATTGCATTAAATCCCAAGATTTCTATATAAAAAGGGACTTTTTCAAAGCTTCAAAATGATCTAATTGAATGGGAAAAAGGAAGATAAGCCTAAATTGAAATGGATGAAATAAGGTTAATAAGTTTGGGTAATGAAGGAAAATCCTTGCCTGGTCAAGATTGGATTCATGCTGTCTTTTTGGAATACAAGAATTCAATGAAATATCTTTTTCATGATCCAATAAAGGCATGCCTAAGAATCAATTCAAAGACTGTGCAACATAAAGACTCTTTCAGGCCCTTAACCAAATCCATAGCATGGGTGCCAAGCATTGATCAAACTGGGACAATTTTCTATTCCCCAGCACAAAATAAGGGACATCCTTCCACCATAAGAAGCAAATGTGCGAAGCCAACACCATCTTGGGAACATCATCCAAGGAAGACATTCAGATCAAAGCACGCAAAGTTGGCATGACAAGAAGGAACTATTATTTCAATAAATCTAAATGGGATGAATTCACACAAAATATTAATCTTGTGAAAGCTTGTTAGGTCAAATACCCCAAAAGGCAACCTAAGCAAAATTTAGAGCATGAAAAAAAAATGGAAGAAAATAAAAAAAATAAAAATAAAAAAAAAGGAGAAGAAAATAAGAAAAAAAAGGTGAAAGAAAGAAATAAAAACTCGCATGATTGAAAACTCGAAAGAGCGATCTTAGCAAAGGTTAAAGTACAAAAAAGAGAGAGTTAATACTTGAGTGAACCTGACCCTGAACTACAAACGGCCTAATTCCTATCCTTGGGATACGTAGGCAATTTCACCCTAGAGACCGGCCCTATTTCATTCAAATTTCACCGTCCATTGGCACCTATCATCAATTCAGATCCTTGAATGTCTAACTTTTGGAAAGGAAGGATTTAGTTGCGCAAGTCATTAGATTCAACTATAGAACTGTCTAATTAGTGAGCTTGCGAAAATTGTCATTTAGATTGTTTTTAAATGAGAAGAGTAAGTGACTTTTATTACTTTTTTGATTGACCATTTACACAACATTTTCTAAACAAAAGGAGTAAACTTCATTGCACTATTTTATTGATAACAATTTCCAACATGACAAATGAAAACAAAGCTAACTAATTTCCATTCAAAGAAATCTTTAGAAGCTAAGACAAAAATAAATGGTATTTAAAATCTAAACTAGGGGCATCATGAGCCAATTCGGAATTACTCAGTCTTCTATCCTTTGTGTGTCTCAACCCACTAAACCTCACGTTCGAGCCACTCAATGAATGCTTGTGATGGTCTACAATTGAAGCCTTCCTCGGCTATTATGAGTACTCTATTTTGCCAACCTTTTGCATTTTCCTTCAAGTGAGAAGCCCGAAAAGCAAAGGAAAAAGGGTACAAAGAGGAACCCAAGTGAGACATCTACTCATACCCAAACCGTGGTAGAACTCGATGAGGAAAATAGTAGGCCATATGAGACAAGCCAACTACCTCTATGCCT